TTGGGAGGCAGAGGCAGGCGGATCTCTGTGAGTTCAAGGCCAGCCTGGTCTACATAGTGAGTTCCAGGACAGCTGGGGCTACAGGGAGATGCTGCTTCAAAAAGACAAAAAAATATACATACAACTATTAAAATAGTAATATGTTCATTGGCATAAACCATACCCAACATGGTATGGATAACAGTCTTTAGAAACATGGCCCATGTATCTAGGAAGTAGCAGCATGTGAATGGCATGAGATTCTCCAGCAGAAGCCCTTCGTCAGCTGCAGTTCCCATGTGGAGGGGACTTTTCTCACAACCTGACTCAGCTGTCTTTTAGGGGATAGGCCCAGACCAAGAGGACAGCACCCAGGCTTGGCAGAAACAGCGCTCTTCAGATGATGCAGGTAAGACCGACCACTCTCAGTCCGTCCTTTAGCCCCTCTCTCATGGACACCACCTAATTCCCCCTGTCCCTTTTCCCCTCCCACATCACATCCTGTCCATCCACTCCAGGGCCTGGAGCCTGGAAGCCGCCACCACCACCCCAAAGCACCAAGCCGAGCTTCAGCGCCATACGCCGAGCAGAGGCCACATGGCACATAGGTACGGAAAGCTTCTTCTTAGCCAGCAGCACTGAAAGCCAAGGATGTGTCCAGAGAAAGAGAATCCATGGCCCCCACAATGGGGGATATACCACCAAGGTGGGGCAGCAGGAAGTCAACACAGTGAAAATGTCTAAAAATATTTGCAAAGGTTCATCCAAGAGAGACAACCTAATCCAAAGGAAGGCTGGCACACACATAGCTTCACCAGGGTTAGCAGACATGAGGGACACTGTGTGGATGGCTCTGAGGAATTCACTGCGGCAGGTGCCACCTCTAGTCACTGTCAGCACAGTAACACCCTCTATAAGTGAGGCTTCATTCCACACCTTAGCTGGGAAAAAGGAGCAAGCACGTGTAACCGCCAGCAAGTGGCAGCTGAGACAGGCCCACTTCAAACATTCCAGCCCTGCTTATCAGTCTGTCCTCAGACTTCTCAGAAAAGTACCCCAAAGAAGCAAAAGCTCTGCCTTGGCAGTCAGAACCTGGGATATTAGTCCACTCAACCACCCATGGCCTTAGGCAGGTCACTTTCTGACTCCATGACTATGGAGAGGTCAGGGAGAAAATGATCTAAATGTGAAACTTCCCCCCTTCTGGGTTCAGAGGACCTTCAAGCTACTAAAGAAAAACTAGACAGCCCAACATCGATGGAAGTTCCCAAAGACCTGCAATATGACTCCTGGCAGTGTTGATATGACGGAATCGCCCTAGAAACCCAACCCATCCCCCCATTCCCACCTCTGGGCTAGGGCAAAATACCAGAAGGAGCTAAGTGATGAACAAGCAGATCTGACTGGGGCCACCTCCTCCCCATTGTCCCATCGCCTCCCTCTCGGTCCTCACCCATCACTCTCCTATAGTGCTGGCCTGAGCTTGTCAGTACCAGAATGCCTAGCCCATCCTCCAAGGCCAACCCAGCCTTTGGGGCAGCCTTACTGATTTCCTGTCGCTCACGCAAATGAGGTGAAGCATCCAGAGCAGAGCGGGGCTTCAGTCTTCATTTAGGAAACCACAGTAGCCAGATACTCCACTGCACACCAACACAGACAACACAACCCAGTATCTGCCAGCCGCTCTACCCTCATGCTTATGTGGCTTAGAGCCATGGGAGTAAGGAGTGAGCATGATAGGGCACCTCTCCTTAAGGCTATCACTGTCTAAATCAGACTACTGAAGAGTGCCAGGCTGCAGCCTTGGCAGGGCCCTGGGGCACTGGACCTAGGAGACTTTGTATACTGGCTCTGCCCAGCAGGTAAGGGACTAGGTCCTGCTCTGTGAGAGGGACTGCCAGGCCAGAGACCCCTTCCACAGGTGTTGGCCTCAGGGCAATCCTGGGAACCAGTGACTAGGACTTGTGAGAGTAGGAGACTAGGAAGCAAGAGGTGTTGGTGCAGATGGCCTTGAACCAGGGAAAGTCCTGGCCTGCAGGGCTTCATAGGAAGAGGAACAGGAGGGCTTTGAACAAATGCTTTTTCCTGTACCTTTCCCTGTCTCCTATCCCCCAGCTGAGGAGAGTGCCCCCAACCACAGCTGCCAGAGCCCTAGCCCAGCTTCCCAAGATGGAGAGGAAGAAAAGGAGGGAGCCTTATTCCTGGACAGGACAATCCCAGCTAAGAATGCCAAGGTAAAGGCCGGCTGGTGGATGACAGGAGTTCTTTGAAACAGGAGGCACTAATTGACCCAGCATCTTCTGTCCTCTGCAGGACCCCACCTTAGCTCCAAGGCCCCCAAAGCCAGTGGCTGTTCCAAGAGGCCGCCGGGCCCCCCAAGTTCCAGGAGGCAGAGAAGAGGCTGAGGCTGGTGGTGTAGCCCCAGGAGTCAACAAGCCCCGGCTGAGACTGGGCTCACAGCAAGACCAAGAAGAGCCAGAAGTCCAAGGTCTGCCACCCTGGCCAAGTGGGGGTGTGGCGGAACCTCTGGGTCCTCAGTGCCCACATCAGATCCCCTTCCAAGGCATGGGACAAGGATAAGCAACAACCAGGAGTCATAGCCTGGCTGAGGACCCAGCCTCTGAGCCCCCTCATGTGCCAGGTTTTCTGTGACTCATTTCAGGACCCTCCGACATGGGCCGCCGGACAGCCCCCCTGAAGCCCAAGAGAACACGGCGAGCACAGTCCTGTGACAAACTGGAGCCTGATAGAAGATGGCCACCTGACCCTACAGGTGCTTCTGGTGAGACAACTGTTCCCCTTTCCCACTGATCTGTCGAACATGGCACCCTTTTAAACCCCAACACTGGGTGGCTGGCTCTCCCTGCCCAGGAAACAGAGTTCCCTGGATTTGTCCCCAGCAGGAACCAGTGAGCCAGGAACCGACTGAAAGCTGCTGAACATCCTCCCCAGCCTTCCTCAATATGTGCCTCATAAGGACTCAGGCCCCAACCACCCCTGCTCCCCAAACTTCCACCAGCCCTTGTCCTACAGGGCAGTGAGTGGACTAGGCATAGGGGAGCAGGAGGGGGGACTGGAAGGGAGGGAGCAACCTGGAGAGAGGGAGGCCCTCAAGCCTGCCTCATGCTGCCTCTGCAGAGAGCTTTGAGCTTGGGTAGAGGCTGTCTCCTCCTCCCCTTGGGAGGTTGGATCTCTGCCCCTCTATGCCCAGGGGCTCTCTCCCCCACTTGTATAGAATAAAAAAATAATCACTGTCTGCCTTGTCTTTGCCTTCTAAACTACACACTGCCCCCACCCACCCCCTCCCCATAAGCTCCCAGGGTTTGGCTATAGATGGGAAAAGTGAGGTACAGCCCACAGGGTTGGGACTGACGCCCCAAGAGAAAAAGAGGGAAGGACAGAACTGTTGACAGAGAAGATGGACAAGTCTGGGTTTCGTGCAGGATAAGGGCCGCAGAAGGAACCAACGTGACAGGAAAGAACAGTCTGGCTTTGAGGGATGTTATAGGATGAGAAGACTTTAGTCAGAGACTGGGAATCTGCACATGTGCATGTGTGTATATGTGTGTGTATGTACCTGTGTTCACACATATGTTCACTAACATTACATGTTGTCTCATAGTCTTTTTAAAACTTTTTTTTTGTTTTGTGTGTGCATATGTGTATATACGTGAGGACACATGCACAGCATGCATGTAGAGATCAGAGGACTTGTGGGAGTTGGTTCTCTCCTTCCACCATGTGAGCCCCTGGAATCTAACTTAGGTCATCAGGCTTGATAGCCATTTTGCCATCTCTCCTGTGTATACTCTTAATAATCAAAAATATCAACAGTAGAGTGACTTATAAATGAACAGGTCTCTATGGCATGAAAAGAAAATATAATAATTATTTCTGGTGGTGTCCAAACAAATTTATTACCTTGGCATGCAGGAACCCCTCAGAGCCTTTTCCCCTGTGACATCCTCCTGACACCTTCCCCACTCATCCAAATTGAACTTTCCTCATTGTGCCACCGTTGCGCCTTGAGCATAATTGTTCCTGTCGTACTTCATTGCATTTCACACTGTCTTAACATCTGTGTGGGTCTCTCTGTTCCATATCCATTTGCCTCCCCCTGGAGAAGAAGCTATGTCCTAATCACCTGACTAGTCCAGTGCCTAGCGCCCAGGAGATAGTTAATAAATGGCTTTTACCTTAATGAATGAGCAGCTTAAAGGACAGAGAGCGAAGGTGTCCCTGTGAATGCTTTTATGTACTCCACGATCACTGTGTGCCCAAATGTCTCCCCCTGTGGCTTGTAGCACTCCAGAAATTGCTCACTTCCCCTGACCTCACTAAGAATGACTAATGCCTCTTTCCTTAAGATTTGTGCCTGACCCAGACCCTCCCACAAGGATGTGGCCATATGGGTTGCATGGGGTGAGGGGCGGAGCACTAGGAACATTGTGGTCCTAGGAAGATGCCCTGGAAATCAGTGTGCAACCCTGTCCTCCAGGGCTGTGTGTGAAATCAATGCAGTCAAAGCATCTCCCATACCTCCTTATAAAATCAATACAGTCACAGCATCCACATACCCTAGAGACCTGGACCTCACTCCCATGAGGTTCAGCATGGTACACGATGGTTTTTAAGAAGCAGGTGGAGCACAACATCCTGTTGTATTCCAGGCTGGTTAGAGTGGGTGTATGTGTATATGTCACAAGTACAGCCTGGTGTTCTTTTATATGTGGCTGCAAATATCCTTAACAAGTGTAATGCTGTTGAAAGTGCTATGAAACTGAGTATGTTTCCCACTGTGCATGGTGGGACTGTAACTGTCATGGTGTCACTGTGAGTTTACATACTGGTGCCTGTGTGAGCCTGTGAGTCGTGGGTGCATGTGTCATCATCATTTCTCTGTGTGGACGTGTGTATGCATGCACCACTGCAATGAGTGCATCTCTGTGACGTGGGGCGTGGGTGTGGTGTGAAGGGGAAGATGTGTGTCACTATGTCTGTGGGGGTCCTGCCTTGGAACTGCCCCCCAGCCCGCCCTTCTCCCCTACTTCTATGGCTCCCTCCCAGGCAGTGGCCTTGCCCCTCCCCTCTTCTCCCTCCCAACCAGTCTGTGCAAGGGGGGGGAGCTGGTGCTGCGCCCCCCCTCCTCCCCATCCAGGCCCCATAAATAGCAGCAGAGCCGGAGCTGGAGCCAGCGCCAGCGGCTGGAGCAGCAAAGGAGTCAGGGGCAGGGCTGGAGAGCTGAACAGAGAAGACCCCGACTAAGAGCCCAGGTGAGCCCACCCTTCCTCCTTAGCCCAGCAGGGGTCCAGCCCTGCTTGACCCAGCCACCGTAACATCGCCTCTGTCCCCCAGAGAAGTCACTAGCCCTACCTGATTCCCTTTCCACCGCATGCCCCTGGCTACCTCAAGGCACCCACAAGACCTAACAGACTTGTGGCTGGAAGGCAGAGCGCCCCAGCACAGACCCTCCCTCACATATCCAGAAAGATACATCATCTGAAGGCTGGTACCCAGACAGGGAATGGTCCTGGTTCTGACGGAAATACAGAAACTGTCACACCCTCCTAGAGATGGACAGAGGACAGAGGGGGACAGACAGAGGGTGGGGCACCCAGGCACACCAATGGACACTCACTCAGGAAGCATGGCATGGAATCAGACAGCCTCATCCTGAGATCTGGACAGGCACAGATAGATGGGCTGACTGGCCATAAACTGGGGCCAGCATACCCCTGTCTGCTGCCGCCGGGGGCTTGGTGCCTCTGCTGGGGGAGGGTAGTGCGCATGCATCCCACGGGCAGCATGGAGGGGGTTGTGGCTCCCCGAAAACCTTGTCGCTAAGAGACAGTGCCTGTGTTGCCAAGAAGTATGAGAACAGGAGGTGGGGAGAGCTGCAGGCTTGTCATAGTGGGAGCCCCTGCCAGGCACCTGGAGGAGTTAACAGAGCCCTGGTCCTGACTCTCACTCCCCAAGCCCACCATCCCTCCTTTCCCATTAGTCAGCTGGAAGGTGAGTTATGGGAGTAAGAAGATGGGGACAGCTTGGCAGAGCACCTTCCAACCTGTCTCTGTTCGCTGCAGACTCTTTTCCTAAGGTCTGTTCCCTTCAGACCTCCAGGGGCCTCTCCACCCTTTGCCCCACCCCCTTGCCCTAGTTCAGTTTCCCGGTGCCAAGAATGAGTGCAGCGCTGGCTCATATACCAGCCGGGAAACAGCAGAAGATGCTGAGACAGGAGAAAGCATGGATCAATCGATGGCCTAAGGAGCCAAGATTGCCAGGAACCCACCTCTGTCCCAACCCTCCAGCCTTTTTCAGCCCCACCCATGATACCTAGCTGGGCAGAGAGACAAAAGCACAGGGCTCTGGACCCCTGCTCGCCCCTGCTCAGAGTTCCAGGGAGGCAAGGTAGCGGGCAGAGGAAGCAGACAGTCTGTGGGCTCTCAGGACCTCAGGAAGGAGGGTAAGGGGTGGTTCCAGAGCCATAAAGGGACAGACCCCCTCCTCTCTTTCCAGTGTCCAGGAAAGTTCTGTCTCCACAGTGATATGTCGGACCCTGAAATGGGATGGGTGCCTGAGCCCCCAGCCATGACACTGGGGGCCTCTCGGGTAGAGCTGCGGGTGTCCTGCCATGGCCTTTTGGACCGAGACACACTCACAAAGCCCCATCCCTGTGTGCTACTCAAGCTCTACTCTGATGAACAGTGGGTAGAGGTGAGAACTGTTTGGTTGGGCTTTCCTTAACTAACCTGTGTCAAGTCTAAGAAGGAGGGGGTGTGTGGGAGTAATGGAAGCCTCATAGGAAAATGTGAGGACTCCAGGGGACTTTCTCTAGGCTATGCAGGTAACCTTGAACACAAGCATGCCATCATTACAAACCCAAACTGTTTCAATGGGAAGCCCACAGAGTCCCAGAGGGTCTTAATAAAAGCCCCCCAAAAAGCTGAGGGTCCAATGGTCCAGCAGTACCCCAAACTCAGGAGTCATCTTAGAAAGAAAAGAACTAGTTGGGGATGTAGGTGCCCAGGGAGTGCTCAGGTGACACAGAAAGTACAGGAGAGGGGAAAGTGTTGGTTCCCAGAAGGTGTCGCTCCCTCCTGCCGCAGGTGGAGCGCACAGAGGTGCTTCGTTCCTGTTCTAACCCCGTCTTCTCCCGGGTGCTGGCCATCGAGTACTTTTTCGAAGAGAAGCAGCCCCTGCAATTCCATGTGTTCGACGCTGAGGATGGAGCCACCAGCCCCAACAATGACACCTTCCTTGGCTCTACAGAGTGCACCCTGGGCCAGGTCTGCTCTCCAGCTCACCCCTGCATCCTCTACCCTACCCCATCAGCTTCTGCCTCTGGATGCCACACAAAGAGAGCAGGAGCTCTAATGCTGGTTCTGAGCTTGGGTCCTGTCTCTGCCATTCATGGGATATACAGCCTTGGGCAAGACATTTAACACACTTTTCCCATCTGAAATATGGGATGAGGTGCTTATAGTGCCCCTTGTTTATTCCTTGTATTTGGTGCTAGGGATTGAGCCCATGGCTAAGCAGGCACTGTCACCAACCTACCTTCCCACCCCTCAGCACCTCCCTGTTAAATCTGCTGTAGACATTGAGTCCAACCCTAGCCTAGTCAAACGATCACCCTGGTGGACACTCAGTGAGCATTTATTTTTCCATCCCTCATACCCTGGGCCAAGGCAGGTGGAAGCATTGTAGACGAGTCTTCACCTTCACCTCTGTCTCTAGATTGTGTCACAAACCAAGGTCACCAAGCCACTGCTGCTGAAGAATGGAAAGACAGCAGGCAAGTCTACTATCACGGTAAGCAAAGTCACTGTGCTCACTTTTGGGCCAGGTGTTCGATGTCCCCACAAGGACATCCACAGTGATACCATGCTTAAGACCATCTCCAGTTATGGGAAGCATTATAGGGCAGCCCTTCTGGTGAGGAGAAAGAAATCCTACCACTGTGTCCCTTTTGCAGATCGTGGCTGAGGAGGTATCAGGTACCAATGACTATGTGCAACTTACCTTCAGAGCTCACAAGCTGGACAACAAGGTTGGAACCCCAGAGTCCAGGCCTTCATGCCCCATTAGAGAACTGTAGGCCTCCCACTGGAGACAGACTCCAGGGTCCCAGCCAATTCCTTTCTCAGTGTTAGCTCCCACCCCACCCGTCCTCGAAGAGCTCACCAGACTCATGAGCCCTTTCTCCTACATCTTCAGGATCTCTTCAGCAAATCTGACCCTTTCATGGAGATCTATAAGACCAATGGAGACCAGAGTGACCAGTTGGTCTGGAGGACTGAGGTTGGTGCCTGGGGCTATGGTACAAAGGTGATTAGGATACCATGGGGAAGCCTAGACAGGAGGTGACCAGGTCTCTTGTGCCTCTCCAAGGTGGTGAAAAACAACCTGAACCCCAGCTGGGAGCCATTCCGCCTGTCCTTACACTCTCTGTGCAGCTGTGATATCCACCGACCTCTAAAGGTAAAGCCCCAGGGAAGCACAGGCAGCCCCTGCCCCCACTTGGAGCATCAAGCCTGCTGTCTGCGACCTTCCCCACTGAGTGTGTCAAGCCTCCTTCCTCCCCATCATGTGATAAGCACTTGTCACTGTGGGATAATAGCAGCTCACAGCTCAAAGTTAAGCTGCCCACATAGGTGCCTTTTATCAGAGGCCAAAGTCCCTGCCAGACTGAGCTAAACAATGATATTTAACAGTGGCTTTCATGGGTGGGTTAAGGACTTCTGTTTGGGCCTAGAGACTATGAGGTCCCTACCACCTTAAATCAGACACCAACCCTAGGAATGACTAGAGAGCATCCCTAACCCCGATTCCACCTCTTCCCCCCCAGTTTCTGGTGTACGACTATGACTCCAGTGGGAAGCACGACTTCATTGGCGAGTTTACCAGCACGTTCCAGGAGATGCAAGAAGGGACTGCAAACCCTGGACAGGAGGTGCTAGAGACCCCATCCTACCCCCAGAACCCCTGCCAGGTCCCTGGGAAAATCCTGAGGGTGATGCTGAAGAGATCTCTGTAGGTGACAGAGGGTAGAGAGCTGTCCAGGCTCAGCAGAAGGATGGGGTCACGTGGTTCTTGCTCTGGGAGGGTCTGCAAAAAGGGGCACAGAGGTCCACCTGATGTACTTCTAACCTTGTGCTTGTGGGATGGGTCTAGATGCAGTGGGATTGTATCAACCCCAAGTATCGGGACAAGAAGAAGAATTACAAGAGCTCAGGGACAGTAGTGCTGGCCCAGTGCACAGTAAGTCACGATTCTCAACTCAAGTCTACCCTGCCCTGCCCCCGACCACAACCTCACATTCTTTCTTTCCCTTGCTTGTTATTTTAATTTTTAATTTTTTTAATATTTACTTATCGTGAGGGGTATGTGAATGTTCGGGCACATCAGTGCCATAGTGCACATGTGGAGGTCAGAGGATAACACTGGGAGTCGGTTCTCTCCTTCCAGAATATGGGTCTTAGGGATCAAATTCATATCATCAGGCTTGGAGGCAACTGCCTTTACCCACTGGGTCATTTCACCAGTCTTTTTTTTTTCCTTTTTAACATTTATTGTACACACACACACAACACACACCCTTCCCTTGCTTTAAAGACCAGTTTTCTCTGCTCCCCAGAACTGGGAACCCTTGTTCTGTCTCATCCTCAACTGCCTCCTTTAAAAAAATCTAGTCCCAGGGCTGGAGAGATGGTTCAGTGGTTAAGAACACTGGCTGCTCTTTCAGAGGACCTGGGTTTGGTTCCCAGCACCCACATGGTGACTAACTGTCCGTAACTCTGGTTCCAGGGGATCCAATGCCTTCTTCTGACCCCCACAGGCATTGCATGACATAGGTGCACTTACACACATGCAGGCAATACACTCTTATACATAAAATAAAATAAAAATAAAATAAAATAAAAATCTAGTCCCTCCACTTTCCCCACGGAAGCCCAAGCTTGCCCCTGAGAGAACCATCTCACCCTCTCATTGTCCCTATCCCTCTGCCAGGTGGAAAAAGTGCACACCTTCCTGGATTACATCATGGGTGGCTGCCAGATCAGCTTCACGGTAAAGGCCCAGGGGATGAGGACTCAAGGAAGAGGGAGGGGCTAAGTCCATGGCAATCTGAAGGAGGCCAGAGTCCCCGTTGCCCTTATTTGGACATCTCATATGCCCTTAGCATTGTCACCCCACACCACGATGAGGCTGTCTATGGGTTCCCCAGACTCATCTTAGTCCTCCCAACATAGCTCTGGCCCAGCCTGTCTGTTGACTCTCACAGCTGCAGCACAACCCTGTCCTCACCATCACCCAGGTGGCCATTGACTTCACCGCCTCCAATGGGGACCCGAGGAGCAGCCAATCCCTACATTGCCTCAGCCCCCGCCAGCCCAACCACTACCTACAGGCCCTGCGCACAGTAGGTGGCATCTGCCAGGACTATGACAGGTAGGGGACTGGGCATAGGTCAGGAAGGGAGGTCTTTCCCCTCCAGCCCCACAGCCTTTTCTTCTCTCCAGTGATAAGCGGTTCCCAGCTTTTGGCTTTGGAGCGCGAATCCCCCCCAACTTTGAGGTAGGTTGGGTGCAAGGGACAGGAGGAGATGTGGGAAAGACAGAAAGGAGATATCCCTTCATTGCACTCGCCTTACTTTCACAGGTGTCCCACGACTTTGCTATCAACTTCGATCCAGAAAATCCTGAATGTGAAGGTAAGCAGGAAGAATCCCCGCTGCCCACACAACAGATGCTCGCAACATCTGTACATCTCTCACAGGAGCACAGACTCCACTCCCATAGATCTGGCCCCCTGTCCTTCCCTCCCATTCAAGGCCTGTCTCCATTTGGGAAAACTTCTGCCCAGTGACCTAGCATCTGCCTTCTTAGCCCTCCCAGCCCCAGCTGAGAGCCATCAGACCTAAAACAGAAAGCCCCATTCTGCCTTAAATATCTGGAAGGACTCCCAACTAATCTCTGTCAGCTTCGCCTCTTCTCTTTGTCCACAGAGATCTCAGGGGTCATAGCCTCCTACCGCCGTTGCTTGCCCCAGATCCAGCTCTATGGCCCCACCAACGTGGCCCCCATCATCAACCGTGTGGCTGAGCCAGCTCAGCGGGAGCAGAGCACGGGTCAAGCCACGGTGAGGAGGCAAAGCAGACAACTAAGTGCTGCCTGCCCTTGTGTGCCAGGTGTCAGGACCTGGGTTCCAGAAGGCTGTCAGTACTTTCTAACACAGGAGTGACCCTCATTCCCCTCCGATTGCCCTCAGAAATACTCGGTACTGCTGGTGCTCACAGATGGTGTGGTGAGCGACATGGCTGAGACCCGAGCTGCCATTGTGCGGGCCTCCCGCCTCCCCATGTCCATCATTATCGTGGGTGTGGGCAACGCTGACTTCTCTGACATGCGGCTACTGGATGGTGATGATGGTCCCCTGCGCTGCCCACGAGGGGTACCAGCAGCCCGAGACATCGTCCAGTTTGTGCCCTTCCGAGACTTCAAGGATGTAAGTATTCAGTACTTTCTCCCAGCTAAAGGGCTCCTCAGCAATTCATGTCCCCAAATCCATATCTCTCATTCCCTTGATGTCCTGAGAAGGTCACTGGAACCCAGCAGGCCACCATGAAGCCACGTCTCTTGCCCATTTGATCCACCCTGCCTCACTCTCCTGCCCCTAACCAACCTCCTTTCCTCCCACAGGCCGCCCCCTCTGCTCTAGCTAAGTGTGTCCTGGCAGAGGTGCCACGGCAGGTAGTAGAGTACTATGCCAGCCAAGGTATCAGTCCCGGAGCTCCCAGGCCCTGTACACCAGCTGTGACGCCCAGTCCTAGCCCATGACAGCCTCTCAACAGACCAGCACTCCCTCAGCCTCTCAGTGAGTTCTGGGGGACCAAAAGGATAGACACAAAAGGGGTACAAAGTGAAGCTTCTGAGAAACCCAACTTGGCTGGATACAGTGTAGCACAGGGTTCTTCTATCCTACTCCCGCCCAGGTGCCTGTCCTTACCCTTGTGACTCCAGTGACCAGTGCCTCTGCCACTTGGACCAGCAGTGCCCTGTGGATCCTAGAAGTGAGTGGTGAGCCCCACTCCCATCCCTCCGAACCCCATAATCCCTAAACTCTGTGGACCCCCATTGACTTCCTTCAGTTATTGTGACTTACTGGCTGTTAATAAAGAGAACTACCCCCCCACAGCACTCTGCTTCTTCCCATCATGCCTCAGATGCCCGTTGGCACTCCCATACCATTCCCACACACACCATAGAAAATGGGGCCAAATCTGAGCCAGAGCTCCCCAAGCAGGCTGCTGTGTTTGTGATCTTATCCCAAGTGCCAGGGGGACCTAAGGAGCCCCACCCTCACCTCCTAAACCCAGGGGGTCTAAACATCATGGGTATTAATTGCAGGAGATGGGTAGGGGTAATAAGAGGCTGTCAAGAGGGCAGGCTGATGCTTTCTTAGACTTGTCTCTCCAGAGAGACCCTGCTGAGTGCCCCAGGGGCTGAACCCCAGCCCCCACACAGCTGGGGGGCAGGCCAAGATAGGTTGTCAAAGAACTGGGGGATTGCAGCAGGTCTGTTAATGAATTTGGAACACAGAGAGGATATCCAAGGTCTGCAAAGTCTGATTTTCCTGAGTGAGTGTTCACACACCATACATCCCTGACCCTCTCTGAGTGTGGCCTCAGCAGTCAGGAAGGTCAGTTGTATGTTTTTAATGATAACATTAACAACAACAGCAAGGACCGTTCTTCGGCATATGCCAAACTTTGCTTCTTTAAATGTGTGCATTATGATGGGAACTTATAGCTCTACGTTCTCCATTATTTCTGACAAAGCAAGTGAGGCTTGAGTTAACTCAACACGCTCAGAAAAGAGTTGGTAGAATTGGAACTTGAACCAAGGCCCACCTAACTACAGCACCATCATTCCAGTGTGCAGCCTTTGAGGGAGAGCCATGTGACCCATGGTGGATCATCTTGAGACCCAGGTATATGTATAAATGTGGCCTGCTTCATGTGCATAGGTGTCTGAGGATGATGTCTCCACCCTCGTATGCCATACAAATGAGAAAGGGAGAAAGGTATACAAGACAATCAGTGGGTCTGGACTGCAGTTCTAAAGAAGAAGGGGGGACACAGGGTAAGATGGGCATGGTGGGCACATGCCTGCAATCCCGACACTTAAAAAGCAAAAGCAGGAGGATCCCGAGTTTGAGGCCAGCCTGGGCTACACAATGGAGAAAGAAAGGGATGGAGGAAGGAAAGAAGGAAGGAGGGAGGGAGGGAGGGAGGGAGGGAAGAAAACTAAAAAAAGAAACAGAGTAAGAAAGAAGAGCTGAATTCTTAGATGGGCCCCCTCTGTCCACGTCCTTTCCTTCAACAATTAATATCAAAAAGAAAGATGCTGTGGGTCTCATAGATGGAACCCAGAGCCAAAGAGAATGGCCATTAGTCAAAGGTAGAAGAAAGTCCAGGGAGCCAGAGGAGAGGACTCCTGTTGTAGGCTCCTGAGCGGAGGAACGGTGAGCTAGGCTAGAGGAGGGGGAAGAGAGAACCAGAACTGTGATGGGAAGAGAAGAGACAGCTGGACAGGGGGTGGATAGTGGGGGCAGAAAGGAAGAAAGACATATGGGAGCCGCTTCCCCCACTCCCGACTGCTTCTCCCATTTATTATGTCCCTTAGAGGATAGATGTCAGTGACTGGTGAGGTGGACACTCCCAGCTCAAAGCTTCTGCTCTACCCAGAGGCCCTCCCCATATGCTGCTGAACCACGGGCTGGGTTACCATGGTAACTGTGAGACCTGGAGGACAGCTGCAGACAGGCCTAACAAGGCCACTGCTGCTCCTGAGCTTTGTAGTGGTGGTAGTGGTGGTGGTGGGTGGGAGAGGCTCCATCTGGATCAATCCCCACCTCCTCCATCCCACTTTCATCAGCCCTTGGAAACTGTGATGTGCACCCCTCATCTCCAAATAGGGTCTCTCTCTCTCTACAAGTTAGGCAAGCAGTCTACCACTGAGCTGTACCCCAACCCACCCAAAAACATTTCTCTCTTCCCTCTCTCCTCCCTCCTCCCAATTTTTCATCCCTTCTCCCTCTCTGACCCCCTCCCACAAGTAGACACACAAAACAGTAACCCAAAGCAGTGATAGAGAATTAACTCTTTTTTAATTGGAAGAACAATTAGCCAATAACAGAAATTTTTCTGGACTTCAGGTTTAATTCACAAAAGTCTAACGCTCTCAGCTCCTTGAGGTCTCCCTTAAACTCTGGGAGAGGCAGGAGGTTGAAGGTCTCTGCAGTTTGGAGGCCAAGGCAATCTAGAGAAACCAACAGAGGACTAGTGCAAGTAAGTGCTCCCACACCCAGGCTGTTTGTTTACTGCCTAGGCCCAAAGCTGAGGCAGAACAGGATGTCCCTTTGGTACCGTCATTCTGCGGCCTCTGTCAGAGATGCCAGAACTGAAACAGTGTCAGAAGTCATCCAATCTAATTGATTAGATGAAGTAATTGAAATCCAGAGAGCAATTGCTTAAGGTGACAGACAGAGTCTGTGACATAGTTGGGACCAGTGCCCAGGTCTCCATACTCCCATTAGGACTCTCTCCCTGCTGTTCTGGGCTCTGAAGGCCACTGGATTTGGGCAGAGGAAAAGTATCTTGGGTCGAGTTCCTACTCTGCTTATTTGGGGGAATTAAAATCTTGAAACTACAGTAGCTTTAAAATGGGAATGTTATAAGATTCAGTGAAAATACAGTTTCATTGCTAATTACAGCCTTAATGTGCTACATGCTGAAACCCTTGAATTAAGAACTACACAGGGGAAAGCTGCACCACTCCCTCTCCTCCGATTCACCGGGCCACCCATCCACTCTCTATGCTATCACCCTCGGTACTGGCACCAGCCCTTACAGAGTTCAGTGCCTGGATCCTGAGGAGCCAGGGCCTGCAAGAGGGGATGGAACCCAGCTCCAGAAAAAGAGCAGCATCTAACTTCTGGCATGCCATGAGGATCAGAAGTTTGGGGGTATTTGTGTGGTCATACAGGATTCAATAAGTGGTGCAGCCCTCTCCTATACGACTTAATACCTGGTGCAGCCCTCTGCTATACGACTTAATACCTGGTGCAGCCCTCTGCTATACGCCTTAATACCTGGTGCAGCCCTCTGCTATACGACTTAATACCTGGTGCAGCCCTCTGCTATACGACTTAATACCTGGTGCAGCCCTCTGCTATACGACTTAATAAATACCTGGTGCAGCCCTCTGCTATACGACTTAATACCTGGTGCAGCCCTCTCCTACGCGGCTCCACCCATTCAACCATCTCCAAACCCCTGTCCTGTCCTAGAGGCTCAGAGGAAGAGCTGAGTGTGATCCCCAGACCCGGGGCCGCTCGACGCCAGCCGGTCACAGCGGGCTCTGTAGAGGTCGCGCTCGCGAGCCAGGCGGGCCACCTCCGCCCGCAGAGCCTCCAGCTGCGCGGCCAGGCGCGTGCGCTCCGCCTCCAGCCCGCGCCGCTGCTGCAGCCGCTTGGAACGACAGGCCTGCGCGTAGCCGCGGTTCTTGAGCGTGCGGCGCCTCTGCTTCAGCCGCAGCGCCTCGTCGCGCCCGCAGCCCCGCAGCCGCCGGTTGAGCTCGCGCACGGACATGGACACCAGCGCCGCGTCGGAAAACCGCTCAGCCGGCTGCCGAGGAAGAGGCGGGGACCGGGTCGGGGCGGGGGTCCCACCGGCCACCACCGGCCCTGAGGACGGTGCCCAATCAGATCCCGCCCTAGCACATGCCACGTTTCCCTGTCCCGAACGCCACAACCCAGTGACCCTCAAAGGATTTGGATTACATCCTAATGCCCTCAACACCCCCACCTGTGTCTGTAATTAATAGGATGAGTCCCGATCCTTCCCGAGAAGGTTGGGTGCTGGGGAAGGACCAAGCTTTAAAAAAGCCAACCACAAACCGCAGCCTTTGCCCGGCTGGATGCCACACATCTTGTTTGTGTTTACATCTACACGATTGTTCATTTCCCATGCTCTTAAATTCTAAGCTCTGCCCCCTTTGAGTCCTCCTCTCCTAATCTTACCTTTCTGTTCCCCATGATTCAACCTACTCTTTTCTCTTTGGGGGACAGGGCTGGGGGGGAGGTAGTTTTCTCTGTTTTCAAGGGCCTTTCTTCCATTCACCTGCCCTGGCTCTTTCCAGGCCAGAAACACTCTTCAGGAACTCTCCTTCCTCTCTTGACTGGCCTCCCTCAGCCTGCCTTCCCTCAGACCAGCCTGTTGGTCACTCACCTGGGCATGCTGGGCTCCTGTCTCTTCTGGGCTCCCTGTATAGTAGCCGTGGGACCCCTCAACAGGAACTGGGCCCTGACTCTGCAGCAGCTCCACAGCCTTATCAGGACTAAACCCCAGTGCTTCCCCAGCCCCCAGCTGCTGCTGCAGGGTGGCCAACCAATAGGGACCCTCACTGCCTCCCACTATGCCTGGCTCACTGAAGGTGGGTGAAGGGGGCACTGAGCTATAAGGTGTGGAGCCCAGTGAGGCTGTGGGGTGTCCAGATCGGCCCTCAGAGGGTTCCCGCTTTACTTCAAACTTCATCAAGTCAAAGTCATTAACATATTCCATGGCCAGAGGGCTGGGGGGCAGAGCCATTCTGGGGCTGACCCGGGAGGGGCACACCTATAAGAAAGAGGAGAAATCTGAGGCACAGGGAAGCTGCCTGCCATCCCTTTCACCACACCCCTCTCCCCCCAAAGCCCAAGCGCCCTGAAGCCAGAATTCTGGAAATCCAGAATAATAATGCAGCCCCCTTCCCCGCACAGCCACTTCCAGGCAGCCCCTGACAGGCAGAGCCTCTCACCCCTTTGGGGTGGGACATGCTGAGAAGTTCTGTCATCTCCAGAGGCATCACTCCATTTACAAGCAATTAAAAAATGTGCTTAATTAACTGTGTCTCTGTGTGTGTGTGTGTGTGTGTGTGTGTGTGTGTGTGTGTGTGTGTACAGTGGGAAGGCGTTACGGTGTGAATTTTAAGATAAGCTACTGTATTATTACATTTATCTGTCTCTCAAAACCCTCAGGATAGTGTCTTAAACATAGAAGACCCTGGGGCTGGAGAGATGGCTCAGCAGTTAAGAACACTGACTGTTCTTTCAGAAGACACATAAGTTCGAATCACAGCACCCACATGGCAGCTAACAATTGTCTGTAACTCCAGTTCCAGGGAATCTGACAGTCTCTTCTGTTCTCCACAGGTATTACATGACACGGGTTGCACTTACCTACATGAAGGCAATACACACACATAAAATAAAAATAAATAAAATATTTTTTAAAAGCTAGAAGACCCTCAGTTACACATTTGTTCACTTCAATCCCCTTTATAGGAGCGAAAGACTAAGGGGGAAAAAAATCCTAGAATCAGTTCTAGAAAGATCAGGGCCAAGTGCTACCATCTCTTCAAGGCCATCTCTCCAAGAAGAACCCACAAAGAATTTCCTCCTTTGATTCAAAACCTGCCATGTTGCATGAGCTTGAGCAGATCAGTTTCATTTTCCTGACCCTACTTTCTGTTCACCTCTGGCAGTTAAACTTGATAAACTCTCCCTAAGAGTGCTTCATGAAACAGCAGTCCTGAACAGTACCCAAGAAGAGGTCTGTGCTCAGATAATTTTAGAGAAAGCTACCTCTTTGCCCCATCTCTCACAGATCCACAAAGCACAAAAGTATATTAATCTAAGAAGCCCTTGAGCAAACCATCTGTTCAACAGAGTGTCCCAAATTTATGATATTAAGGAACTCTTTTTTTAGTCTTTTTGAGAGAGGGTCTCCCTGTAGCCCCAGCTGTCCTGGAACTCACTATGTAGACCAGGCTGGTCTTGAACTCACAGAGATCCACCTGCCTCTGCCTCCCAAGTGGTGGGATTAAAGCCGTGCACCACCACACCCAGCCAGGAACACTCTTTTATGAGCCTGGAGCATATGTTCACCTCTGGCTAGTTGAACTCAGAGATACTTCTCAGTCTATAAATTCCAGCTCTACCCCAGTTCCCAATTCCAACAGCTACACCCCGTCCCCAGAAGGGGCCAGACTGTGGGTCTCATACCCAGCACTTAGACTTTAGCTACCTCTTGATGCCCTCTTTTCAGCCACATCTCAGATCCCCATCCTTTGACCAGAGAGGTGGGAAGACAGACAAGGCTTTTCTCTTCCTGCCCCAGGGTAGAGTTGTCCTCAGCAGAGCTCCTCAACTCTTAAGAGGACAAAGGGACTAGAAGGAACTGGTTCTTGGTAAGGAGATGATGGTACACTGAGAGAGGTGTCCAGAGAGAATGGGATGTGCAAAACAGGTAGGTAAGGCAGGTTGCTTATCTTTCGGATGTGCTAGCAGCCAGAGCGTGAGTGGGCAGAATGCAGAAGAGTGAGGATTCCATTCCAGACAAGATACAACAGAGAGCAGACAGCAGGTATCACAGAAAGCACCCTACATGACCTAGGCCTGCCACCTAGGTTGACCCCCAGATATACTCACTTAAGGAATGGCGGAGAGGACGTGGTCAGTGTCAGAACCAGACAGGCACAGCTTCCCCAGATACTAGAGACCCCATGAAGTAGGGCCTGATGCCCCTGTGTTCAGAATAAGGGAGCTGTGAGCACAGAGCCCAAAGGGCACTCTTAAGGGGCCAGTTCTCTGAGATCATCTGTGGCCCTCAAGCCTCAGCCAATGAGCTAAGGGGCTTATTTGCATACCTAATTGACCTGGGGGTTGGGAGGAATGTAGAGGAGAGGCAAGAACAAGCCCTGCCAGTTCTGAAAAAAAAGAAAGGGGGTATCTTCCCCCAAGATAGCTTCTCACTGATGGTCCAACTTGCAGGTTCTTGGTTTCCCAATACAGAAAGCCACCTTGACCCCAAGCACCACCCCCTTCATGTGGACACAACCCTCAGCTTGTCCTCTCAAAGCCTAGGGCTGGGAAAGGGGCCAGACAAGCACCCAGAAATCTCATCTTTTAAGATTCTGTATCTCTTAACTGTACCTGTGGGAAATATAAGCTTTCCCAAACTCATTCTCATCTGGCTTGTTGGGCCTGCTTCCTCTTTTCAAATATGCTCACATTTCTGCCCCTGCCACATCTTCACCCTGTCTGACCTTATAACCCTCAGAGTCATTTTACCAGAAAGATAAGCAACTGTCTCCATGGAGAATTCACTCTTAATAGCCTAGCCCTAAGACAAGCAGCCTAGCTTGGGAGAAGGAGTAGAAAGAGAGACTGGAGAACTCTGGTCCTACCTTCCAGGCTACTCAAAGACATTGAAACCTAATCGCCACTAGTTCATTGAATACACTTTTGTGACTACACTCACAAGCCCTCTGCTTCCTCTCACCTTTTCCCTGTGTCTGTCTAGGTCCCTCTCTTTTCCTCTCTCACTCATATGGTTCCCAGATGGCTGGGGTATGACCTACATTTTCAGCTTAATCTCCTAACACCTCAGCGCTATCAGCCTCCAGTAGGAGTTAGAACAGGGATACTAGGAATTAGCCAAGGAGATGTTTAAACCTGCCTGAAGCTGTTTAAATAGGGCCCATACTAGAACTCCAGGAGTTAAAGGGTATTCCCTACCTTGTATGGACACCAAAACACTCTCATTGGGTTAACAGGTCTTCTTTCCCAACTCAGAGAGAAGTCTGGGCTTCGGCCATCCTCAAGGGTCCTCCTCGTTTGTAACAACCTGGTCCCAGCCTTATGTGTTAGGGAGATGCTAGTAAATACAGATTATTTAAGACCGTGACTCTCAAAATGTGGTCTCCAGATCAGCAGCCACAGCATCTCCTGGGAACTTGTTAGAGAAATAAATTCTCTGGTTTCATTGCAATCTCTGAATCAGAAACTCTGGGGTAGAACACAGACATCTGTGATTTAATAATCCGTTCCAGCAATTCTGACACACACCAAAGTTTGAGAAGCACTGCAGGTGCCTACATTCAAGCCAGCTTCTCTCCTCTCTCAATCTCTCTCTCTCTCTCTCTCTCTCTCTCTCTCTCTCTCTGTATGTATGTATGTATGTATGTATGTATGTATGTACACCACACTGTGTTACTTGTTTTTCTGCTACTGCTATGGTTTGGACATAAAATGTTTCCCTAAAGACTCACATTGTTTCCCAGCTAAGGCTCTACTGAGAAGTCATTAGATCAAGGGAGTGCTAACTTATCAATGGGTTAATCAATTGATGAGTTCATATTGAATTGACTATCAAGAGGTGGGGGCCTATTTAGAAGAAGTAGGTGGCTAGAAGTGAGCCTTTCAATGGGTGTGTCTTCTCCACAGTTTGAGTTCTCTCTTCCTCCCTTCCTCCCTCCCTCTCCCCCTTCTCTGTTCCATCTCTATCCCTCCCTTCTTCTCCCCCATCCCTTCCTCTCCCGTCTCCCTCCTTTCCTCTCTCCCCTCTCTTCCATCTCTCTCCTTCCCTCCCCCTCTCCATTTTCTCCTGGATACCATGAGGTGAGCAGCTCTGTCTCACCATATATTGTCCATCCTGAAGTTTGGTTTTGTCTTGGGCCCAAGGCAATGGGATCATGTAAGCACCAACTGAAACTGAAACTAAATCACTAGCCAGAATAATTCTCTCCTCCTTTAAGTTGATTTTTCTCAGGCATTTTGTCACAACAAAAACTCACTAACCCAATTGCTCTAATCAATACCTGAGGTAATCAACTTTAAAGAGAAGAGGTTTATTTTGGTTTGCAGTTCTAGAGTTCTAAGCCTCTGATCACTTGCCCCATCAGTTTTTGGCCTGTGGTAACACAGCACTTCACAGCAGGCAGCGCTTGGCAAAGCTTTTTACCTTGTGAATGGGACAAGAACAAGAAGGAGGGGAGGGAATGGGGTTCACCTCAACAGGGGGGCACACTCCAGTGACCAGAAGGCTTCCCACTAGGCACAACCTCTTACAGTTTTTACCACCTTCCAATGGTGACAAGCTTTGAACACACATGCCTTTGGGAGAACATTTAAGATGCACGAATATTAGAAGGCCTAGCTCAGATGGCATAACTCTCTACCTCGATCTCCATTTTATGAAGTAGACTCTATTGTCACTACTCAAATAGAAATGCTATTCTCACCTGGACCTGGAACTGTTTTTTCAGAAGAAGCAAAAAGTTTAAGGCCAGGAACTAGTCACAACATGAGAATGTGGATTATGAAAACAGGGAACCCCGTGTACATTCCCATAGAATATAGCTTTATTGGACACGGGAAAGAAACCCTAGAATTTCCCTAAAGGAAGAAGGAATAGGAAACATTAAAGCCCCTTTTTCAGGCCTGCTCTGGCCTTGCCAGACACTTGCTCCCACTGGGCATCTGTCACGTCTGTCCTGATCCTCTTGTTTACTGGAGGACTCAAAGAAGAGGTGGGAGGGCTAAGCTGCTAAGGGGCTAAAGGAGTCAGACTAAACAAGCTCAGGCAACTTAAGCCTGTCCAGGCTTAGACAAGGTACCACTAACTGGGGAAAGGAGTTGGGATGTGAGGACTAGGCTCAGAGAAGAGAGGTTGTACCAACTCATGGGGACCCAAGAGGCAGAGTGCATGCCAAGCAGGGCAGGGAAGACTTCAAGGCCAGGAAGCAGATGGGAGACTAAAAGATTTTA